CCCTGAGAGTTCTTATCATGAATGAGTGCAGGATTCTGTCAACTGCTTTCTCACCATCAGCAGATGTGGCAGTATGATTTTGCCTCTTTGCTTTGTTAATATGGTGGATTAAATTGCTGAAGATGTGTCCAGCCTTGGAGACCTATAACAAAGTGCAGTCGATCATGGGATATCATCCTTCTTATGTATAGCTAAAAAGCATTTGCTGATATTGTGTTAAAAATGTTGCCTCTATTTCATATCAGTTTATAATTCCCAATTTTGCTGGCTTTCTCCTTCGTGGGTGTAGGATAATACTGGTTTCGTGGTTATTTTGAAAGTGCTTCCATTTTTCAATTTCTGTAAGAGGTTGTGTGGAAGTGACACTAATTCTCCTTTAAACATTTTGTAGAATGGCACTATCTAAATCTGAATATTTGGTTTTTTAGGAATTTGCTCCTCCCAGTAAAGATACAATTTACCAATCAGAGGGAATATTTTACCATAAGAAAATATTGTCCAGAAATCCAGCTCACATTTCAGCCATGTTGAGTTTCCAGAAAACAGAGCTAGAAAGTTAGCTTAAGAGCACATTTATCATCAAGAAGAAAGGATGTTGCTGACATTTAACAGCAAAGTCAAAGTGATTTACAGTTCATTGTTCTGCTTTTAAAGGCTCGTTTACATTTTAAAAATTATTTAAAAGACACACATTCTATGTCTTGTTCATTTGCTTATTTTAAAAATGTGTGGTGATATTTAATATAAAAACACTTCAACCCCTTGGCTATGGGCAAAGAGACACCTGATTGGTGGCGGTGCTCTTCAATCAGTCAGGGACAGAGCCAACTTGAAGTCCTTTGGTCATCCTAGCTTGAAGTCTGGATTGTGGCCAGAGCTGTTTCATGCCAAGGGCACATTTAAAAAAACAAAACAAAACACTTCAAGCCCTTTAAAGTTGAAGACCATGTAAACAATTTAATTCGGTCGAGCACACCAAAACAAACTCTTGAATAATTACACGAGTAAAAACATTATCTGAAGCATCCTGAGCCTTTCCCATGCTGTATGAAAAGTCAAAGTCAAAAACTTTGTGAAGGTATAATTGCTGTTGACCACAAGATGGAAGCCTAGTCCAGTTTATACTCAGTGTTAGAAAAGTAAGGGAAGATGTTCACGGAAACTTTTGAAATATTTGCCGATAAACATGGTGTAGAAGACGAAGCAGCCCTTGCCCCAACCAAGGCTCTAGTTATGGTTGGAGCGTTTATAGGGTTTTGATGTGCACTCTCCTTCTCTGAGTCCACATGCTACTGGTTATAGAGGCAGGGAACCCTGACTGAAAATACTTCAGTCCCTACCTGCTAGTTTCCTTGACCAAAATACCTAGTTTTCTCGGGGTACAATGGAAATACAATGATGATCTAGAGAACATACAGTTCTCAGGAAGTGTATCGGTATACGATTAAGATTTAAATTGATACCTATCAATTTAAGCAAAATATTGGGGGGGAGACTTCTAATAAAAAACCCCAAATAAAAATCCTCCAGCCTATTTCTCACCTCTCTTTTTACCTAAAGATTTCCCAAGTTCAAATGTAGTCTCAGAAATTGGAAACATATGATGCTTGTCTATTATCACTCTTGGATTTTCTAAAACATTTTACAGCATTGATCTCTCCTCATGTATTATCCCATATTAAGTCTTGAAATTGTTTATTTTTAGATACTTATCCTCTATCATGGTTGTTTCCCAGATTTCCTACTTATTCTCTCTGACTGTCCCATGCTATACACAAGCCCTGGGGGAGCAGTGGGTTACCATTGGACTGCAAGGGAGCAAGAGGAGGCCTCCTTCTACTGCAGGAAAGATTTGTAGCCTCGGAAACCCACAGGGGCCGTTCCACCCTGTCCAATAGGATCGCTATGAGTTGGGAGTAACTCAAGGGCAGTGAATGTAGACAACGCAGACAAGAGCCGCTTTCGCATGGCTTCTATTTTTGTGTGTGGAAATTTTGTGTGTGAAACTGTTATGTGTGAAAATGTCATGGCATTCAGATGTGAAATTTTAAGTGCTTAGGTCATTTCTTCTTATTTTTGAGATAGCTAACTTTTATTGTGCCAACCTGGCCAATGAACACGTGGGATTAATGGAAGGGCGGAGAGATAAATGGCTCGGCGAGCCTCGCCTTTCTTGTCTCTTGCTCTTTGATCATCGGGCCAGTGTGTGGCTGCCTGGCTTGTTCTTTGCCTCAGTTTCCAATCTACACTACCTGTGGGACACCTAACCAGTGGACTGTGTCACTGTAATTTGAGGTTCCTTCAAGACCTGCTTCGCTACACCATTGGAATTTACATCGATTGAGCCTGGGAGTGTCGGACCTTGTCATCTGGCTGACTGTTGGTGACCTACCTACCTTGCTGCTTGCTTCCTGTGTCCAGATAGCCTGAATTGCTGTACAGAGGACTACCCGGCGGCCCTCAAGACTTGAAGGACTGCCAGTGTCTCACAACTGTCTCACGGGAGTGAGTTGCACTGAGCCATTTGTACTGCTTTATAGATTAATTACCTGTTTATTTCTTATGTTATCTTTCTGTAAAATATATATATATATATATAATTATTAGTGTTCTGGTTGTGTTTCTCTAGAGAACCTTGTCTAACACAATTTTCTACAACCTTCCTCATGATATCAATCAGCAAGCTGTCCCAGAGATGTGCAATTCACATTTCTTACCTTCATGTCGTCATTTCTCTTGTCTTCTTCCTAAGTCTGTATGAGTGTATTTGCAGGCTTAGAATCCAAGTCATTATGAGGATTTCTGATCAAATGCAATAAACTCAAAGGGAAAGAGTCGAGGAGGACTGCAGCGCAGACCTGATTACATCCCCAGGAGTGGGCAGGGGTCACACTTAGGCAAGAGACAGCTTCCAATAACTCTGGCTATTCCCAAGTAATGTAGCAGATCTAAGGGAGCTATTGTCGGGATACAGTCCGTTTACAAACCCCTTGGCACTAAATTACCTCCTAAATCTTCTGTAAGAGAGAATAGCTTGACAAGTTCTAAGGAACCGAAAAAGGGAATGGAAAGCTAAAGGAGACAGACGTTTTCAGAACACAAACTTGACAAACATGGTGATCCCAGTCATGACCTGGAATTATGCTTCTAAGGTATCTCACTTCCATGTCCTAACCCAAATCCCACCCCCCTCCCCCCAAAATTCCCAATTGTTACATTTATATATATGATGGAGCCCGTGTGTCACTCTGGTTTAGACTCTGGTTTAGGATTGTTAACTGAAGGGTATATGTTCAAACCCACTGGTCACCCTATGGGAGAACGAAAAAGCTGTCTACTCTCCAAAAGATTTATCATCTCAGAAACCCTATATAGGGCTACTATGAGTCAAAATTAACTCCATGTCATTAGATCATGATTATATATTAAATTTAGTTACACGGTTTTTGTTTAATTTTCATTCACTTCTGTAGTCTTGTCTGTATCTTAGAGAGAGAGTTCAAAAGAGAATTGGTTTCCCAGGCTTGTTCTCGGGTTTCTGAAGGTGGCTTATGTTTGCCGATGGAATTAACTATTCTGGGATCTCAAAAATGGAGGTTGGGCAGAAGTCATTTCCCTCAGTGGATGATCTGGTTTCACAAACAGGCGTTTTGGCAACAGCCTGTGTTCCCAAGACATTCCACGCCCTCAGGGTCCTAGAGGAGTTGTGTCCCACGAAGTGGCTTCCTACAGGTTCCCAGCCTTTTGGAAGTTAGTGGTTTGCATTGAATTCTGCTGTTCAAAACTTCCTCGCAATTATCAGGCACGATCCCCTATAACATATTAAATTCTGCTAATATGCCTACAGTGATTTCTGAGACTCTTCATTTATTTTCACCAAGAGAACTTCAGTCAGGGACTCTCAGAGATTGCCTCAAGCTCACAGGAAGTTAGAGCTTGGGAGAGAATGGGTGAACATTAGTAGCATGCAAACAGCAAGGTTCTCCTTCCACAGAAAAGGGAACTGAAAATCTTTTCTAACAGCTTTGATATTTAATAGCCTCGTGAGAGAACCAATCAGTGTGCTAAGTCTGAGCAAAATCATGAGTTGCTGAGCAACCTCTGGGATTCAAGACACTATTACAATATGTAAAATGTCTTTCTGTAAAATATCTTTGAATTTGTACCTATTCACTGACTTCTGTCTAAAAACTAGGCATTGTGACATCCAGCAAAGGGTAAGCATGGAAACATCAACACAGCTCTGCCCTGAAAGAAATAAACCGAAAACATAAGGTCAGAACCGCAGCATCGGTGGGTAGCGTAGCACTCTCGGTTGGCCCGTTCTTCAGCCTCCCGGAAATATAGTCCATATAGTCCATGATAATTCCACGTGAACTCTGTACGGCGAGTCCCCCCTTAGTGAACAAAGAGTCAATGTCAAAGTATGTTCAACGTTCTTATGATCACATAAAATGAGGCTCTGAAGGGTATTTGCCCTCATAATTAGTGAAATAAACTACATGTAGAATAAGATCATGCATCATGACTGGTATTAAGTGATCTGATGGGTGCCTCATTGCCAAGATCCTCTTCATTACCAATATTTGGAGGATAACCCTTTCCATGGTCCCTCCTGTGGGCTAACATATTCTTTTGTATGATGCTGACGTTTCAGACACCTGAGAGACAGAGTGGAATAATTTTAAGTCTGCTCCGTGGTTGGTGGACATTGAGACATATTCTTCAAATCAGAACTTTAATAGTCATCTGACGTGATGGAAGAAATGAAAAGGTTCTCCGGCAGTTGATTGTCTTTAGTTTGTCCAGAAAACGGCCTGCTCGGGTTACTCCACCATATCCGTTGACTCGAATCCTCAAACGTGACCTGTCTGCTGCCGTCTCTTCTAAACTCCAGACAGATTTAACGTAATAGATATTAGGAGGCGGAGCTCCTCTAACAGCCAGCTGTTTGTAGTCACCACTCCCTGGGTTCCAGAATCTTGCTGTCCATCTCTTACCACTTTCTGGAGTGTTGAAACTTAAAAGAGTTTCTCCTTTGACAGTCTGTAAGCACAGAATATGTCCAGATTCCCCAGGCTTTGGGAATGTGTTGGCCATATTGGGATGTAAGGAATGAGAGAAGAAGCATGCAGCAATCAATTTTGGCACCTAGCACTGCCAGGATTGAGGGATTCTCTGTGACCTGACAGCTTACCTGCTCTTCAGATGACCCACTGCCCCTAAAGAGACTCGCCAGCTTTCACGGGTCAGAAGTGCTTCAAACATATCCCTTTGAAGGGCTTAGCTTAGGATGAGGTAACCGTATAGCATTATCCAGTGTGCTCAGGCTTTCATTTATTGTTTGTTTCACTGATTACGAAGTTTCTCTTTCTCTACTGGATTAAAGCCTATTTTCTTTCTTGGGCCCTTTACAAAAGTACTCTCCTTAGCAACAGATGTGTCATGTCCAAACATTTTCCTGATTGGCTGAGGCTTAACTGATCTTCATTGTAACTGTGCCCAACTCTATTAGACCTCCAAATCTCTTTCCTTTTTATTTCTTTCAGTCCTGCCTCGCGCTTGAGTTCTACGGACTCTCCTCAAAGCACTAATGAGGAATATGGCCTCAACAGGGACCCCTGCACTAGGATTGTTTGTCGTGGCTGTTCTGATGAGCTTTCAGAAATCATGGGCCATCAAAGGTAGGTGCCAAAAGTCTCAGAATCAAAGAAACTGGGCGGTGGGGCCATTGAAGAAATGAACTGTGGATAACTGCAAGTCAATTGTTTGAGCAAGAGAAAATGGTGACAGGTATTTGTGGGATTAAATCTAAAAGCATAACAAATTGAAGCTGGGAGGAATTCTCTGACGACAAACTGAAGTAAGCTAAATTTAGTTCATAAGAACAAAACTGAGCTATGTATTAGTAAATACCAGTGACCTGGATTAAAGCCAAAGCTGAAGGAAACATTTTCTGATACTTACAATCAAAGTATCTTTTGGAAATTTAATTTCATGTTCTGAAAAAGTGATTAAATTAAAAAGTAAAGCCCTCATATAGTTTTGTGAAGATTCAATGAGAAATTCTGAGTACTATTACTAGCTGGATATGTGGTAGTGATTTTTAGTAAAATTGCCTGGGTGGGGAAAAGGTTAAGACCTCAGCTATGAACTGAAAGGTTGGTGATGTTATGAGTCCACCCAGAGATGTCATGAGTCCACCCAGAGATGTCTTGGAAGAAAATCCTGGCAAATCTACTCCTATAAGGTCAAAGCTATCAAAAACTCTATGCAATACAGTTCTGCTTTTACATACATGGTATTGCTGTGACTCGGAATTGAATTGGTGGTGACGATTTTGTTATGGTTGGTAAGTTTTTCCTTCATTTGTATGTTTTGGCAAGTCGTGTTAAAATATTGTGAGCACAGTGTATTGAAGATCACTAGCGAGAAAGCTCACCCAAGGATAGCAATTTACCTGAGGGAGAGGGGAAACTCCGGAGTGGTGATATAAACCACATCTGTCTAATTGAATCCTTCCTGTGACTATGAGCATCTCACTAGCCTATGGTGATGTGAGATCACTGTTAAACAAGGGTGTTTCTGAGAGAGTAGAGCCATGAATAAGGAAGTCAGGAGTCTGATTTTTTTTCCAGCCCCTGCCACCTCTGGAGCGATCATGTGTGCTATTGTGAACAGTTAGAACAAGTGCTCTTCCCTGAGCATGACTCCCACGGTCACTGGAAATACGCAGAGTAGTGGCCCAGCTCTTGCACTCAGGATGGCAGTTGTATTTTCCATTGCCCCAAATGAGCCAGGTGACACTAATGTTCACCTGAAAAGTTTGCAGCTCTTCTCTTCCGTGCAAAAGGAAGGCCAGAATGTATGGGGCGGCGCAGGCTGGCGGGTCGGGGAGTACAAGAGGGGACGGGGGTGGGGGGGGGGGGGGGGGGTTTTTGTGCATACACACACACACACCCGCCTGTGTGTCTGTTTCAGATTATAAATGATAAATTGAACCCCTAATTTTGTTAATGCACTTCCCCTGTCTCTTAACGAATCACTAGCGACACCCCCCCACCCCATGTACACGCAGTACAGAGCATGCATATTCTCCGGTTGTAGTTTAACATTTTCAAGTTGCTTTTTCTCTTGGGGTTGATAATTCTCGGTATCAACCATAATGCAATGCAGTGTGTACCATAAGGACAGTTTCCATCTAAAGAGCATTCACATTTTTTTAACTGCATTATGATTCTTCTCTTTGAGTATCTAACCTGTAGTATTAAAAAAAAAAACCAAAAACCTCACAGCTATTGAGTCGATGTCAACGCATAGTGACACTATACAATAGGGTCGAACTGCTCCCTGGGGGCTTTCAAGGCTGTAACCGTTTATAAGAGTGGAAAGCCGCATTTTTCCCCAGGAGAACAACAGATGGTGTCGAACTGTGCACCTTGTGGATGGCGGCCCAATGCAGAACCAGTATGCCATAAATCTAGGTGAATAGCGCTCTTTAACACCACAAGGTCTCAGCCTTAGCTCTCTAGGGTGTCTAAGCTCCAGTTATATTTTCATAAATTCAAAGCAGCCTTTGAATGGTGTTTGTTGTAGACTTGATATATATTAGTATAAATAACTTCCCTCGACTCATTTAATTCCCCAAAACAAACCTAAGGTAAAAGCAAACTATACTGAATATATATATATGTATATATATATATGTATATATATATATATATGAAATTTGGATATAAATAAGAAAAGTACACATAAATAAGTAGAATATTTTGCTCAAATGACTCAGCAAATAAGCAGCTTGCTAAGAATGCAAGATTTGATTTGATTCCAGAATTGTAGTTCAATCTTTTAAACAGTGTTCCCATCTTCCTAGAGAAAGCAATGATGTAAGAAGAACATGCCTTGCAACTCTGACCTATGAATGTACTTAATGCCTTGGTTTAATAGATGAAATCTTTTTGTTCTCTTTGGGGAACTTCTGCTGGATTTCTTAAAAGGTGTCTTACTTCCAACCTACTAACATGGAGCCAAAAACAGCTTCACCAGACCCTGAGCTTATTGTCCTCTTGATCCTTCCTATCTCTTCTCCAGCGCTGCCAAGCAAGCATGCCGTACACCCAGGTTCCATATTTCTCAGTTCACGCCTGGTGTCCATGACTCCTCCATTCCCCCGGGCCCTATCTTCTCTACCACCTCCTGCCACACGTATTTGTCTCGTATCATGTGCTCTTCTCACCTCTCTCTCTCTGACTCCTTTTCGTGCCTTTTCAGAGGATCATGTGATCATCCAGGCCGAGTTCTACCAGAGCCCAGACCAATCAGGCGAGTTTATGTTTGACTTTGATGGTGATGAGATTTTCCACGTGGACATGGGCAAGAAGGAGACCGTCTGGAGGCTTAAAGAGTTTGAACGTTTTGCCAGCTTTGAGGCTCAAGGTGCCTTGGCCAACATAGCTGTGGACAAAGCCAACCTGGACATCATGAAGAAACGTTCCAACAACACTCCCATCGTCAACGGTACCTCTCTCTGTTGTGCTCTTAGACGAGGGAATCCGTAACCCTTAAATAAATGATTCAGTTCTTTGTCTCCCAGTATCGGGACTGGCTTAGCCATGGGGTCACACTGGTGGCGTGGGTCCATGTGAGTTGGAATTGACTCAATGATGACTAACAACAAGCTTGTCATAGGCAAGCCCCAAATTACCATGTCATAGGCCCAGTAGGTTTGTTTCTTCTTTTTCTCCTTTATATCCATCTGTCTTGTCTCTACCATCCATAGCCACTCAAAAATCACTAGGCTGGGTCCATGCTGAGGGAGCCAAGGTTGAGGGCCGTGGATATCTTACAGCTCAGTACTGGTTCAAGTTTCAGAGGACAGGGTCAGCAATAGGGATATGGGGCCTTCACAGAGAGTCCTCAGGGCACAATTCCAACTACTCTTTAGCTTAGGTTTGGAACACAACTCGGTAAGGGAAGAGAAAGGACAAGCCTCAGCATGGAAACCTAATTTCTGTCGTGTGTTTGTCCCCCCAGTACCTCCAGAAGTGACTGTGCTTTTGCACGACGTCGTGGAAGCTGAACAGCCCAACGTCCTCATCTGTTTTGTTGACAAATTCACCCCCCCGGTGCTCAAAGTCACCTGGCTTAAAAATGGAGCACCCGTCACCACAGGAGTGTCCGAGACCGTCTTCCTGCCCAGGGACGACCACCTGTTCCGCAAGTTCTTCTATCTCCCCTTCCTGCCCTCGGCAGAGGACTACTACGACTGCCAGGTGGAACACTGGGGTCTCGACACGCCAATTCTCAAGCACTGGGGTAGGAGCCGTCCTTAGCTCCCTTGTTTCAGCTGATGTGCTTGTCTGGTCCCTTGGGAAGCGGCATTCCCCAACTGCTTTATGCCATCTGATTATAATCCAAATACTTTGTCTTCTTCAATCAATCATCTTTTCTGACTACCTAGTCAGCAATTCCTTCACTCTATCGTCCTATTTTCCTCTTCTTTAATTATTAAAAACTAGTCTCTTTACTAAGTCATTTATATTTGCAACTAACTGCTACTTCCTACCGCTATTCATGATCTGTGATCTCTTTTCTTTTTACCCCTAGAGTTTGAAGCACCAACCCCTTTCCCAGAGACAACAGAGAACGTGGTGTGCATCCTAGGCCTGGTCGTGGGTCTGGTGGGCATCATCGTTGGTAGCCTCCTCATCATCAAGGGTGTCCGCAAAGGCAATGCTGTTGAACGTCCCCGTGGGCCTCTGTGAGGTGGGTTTGATGCAGTCAGAGGAAGACGTGGAGGGATGGACATATGAGGTCTTTAAAGGAAATGGGTGGGCAGCAAAGTTGTGCTTCTTGATTTGCTTTCCTAGGACAGAATCAGACACAGGCATCATGGAGCACCCCCAAACTTCAAAGTCCCTCATTTCTTTTGATAGATGTGTGTGTAGACCACAGATTAAGTCTTGGAAATTATTTCCAGTGCCTAACCACATTTGTTCAGGTTAGAATACCAAACCTAATGATCTAAGAAAGTCAGCTGCAAGCTCAGGGAACTTCTTGGCTTTTGTTTCCTAAAGTGGCCTGCCCATGTAGTAGCATTTTTAGACGCCATTGATGCATTCATGGATAGACACATTTCAGGAAAGAGACATTTCATGGAGTCCAATGTCTGGCTCGCTTTCTCCCTTCTGAGTGGTGGTGTTGGATGTTCTAAAAGCACGTCAACTGCAGCCTGCATCCGGGCTCATTTGGACAGTTGAGTGTAGCTGTTCATATTGGAAGAGCTATATTTACTAGAGGTGAGGTGAGGCGATATTTTTCCAGCGTCAAAATATTAAAGGAGAAGAGGAGGGACTCTAAAGGAAAGAGATAAAAATATGCGTGTTCAACTCTTTCATAACTACGTGCTTCTTGTTTCAGGTTGTGTCCTTTCTTAGAGAGAAGATAAATGAAGAAAATTCTGCTTCAATACCTTTCCAAAGTCAGCCATACTCCAATCGTTCACGTCATTGAAGACAGCCATTGTTCAGCCCTATCCCAGTGTCAACTACAAGCGTGGTGCTGCCTTCCCCCGGTCGTGGCATCCAATGACATCTATTGGATGTATCTTTCTGTTGCCCCTTCTTGTGTTCTAATGCCTCTGGAACAAATCCCACAGAACCACCTCTGTTCTATGGAACCTTCTGCACGTTCTATCAAGAACACTGCTTGGATACTGACTGCTTGAGGTTTCTCCAAACAGATCTTTTTCCCTGTGCACAATAAATTGTTGGATGGGTCTTCAGTGTAGTTTTCAAACTTGGTTCCCATTTGTCACAGAAACTGGGAGAACACATGTTATTCTTCCATCGTGAAGTGTCTGACTGTATCTTGTACATTTTGAGATTAATCAGAAATATCCAGGTTCACTCTGGGACGGTATCCAGCGCATCGACCAGTAAACCAGTTGCTTTGGTCCAGTTATCGTTCAGAAAGCCCTAGAGCAGGATTGGTTTGTTAGGAGGTCTCTACTGAGCAACAGCTCAAACTTGGGACGTTAAGCCTCCTACCTGTGTCTCATAGACTGAATCTCAAACTATAGGTTTTTGCCTCTGATCATGGGTGGGGCAGACGATGGAAATAAGATGGGGGCGGTGTGGGGTGCAGAACGAGAGAAGTAGCTTTATACTTTCCAGGATGTGGCTCTCTCCCCATCACCTATTTCAGACTTAATAAGGAATGCTGTTGAACACTAAGAACTGGAATTTCCCAGACATCCTGCTTGATTGCTCTGTCATCATCAAGAGAACATCGCAACTTTTTCTTGGAACCATTTTCTGTGTGGAGCTATTCCCCTGAGTAGGAAAACTGAGTAAAGGGAAAGACGTAACATAAATATATATATATTAGGAAAGAATGTTTTGGCCCAAATGAGCTCTTGCTCACTTGTCTATGAAACAATAACTAGACGTCCACTTCTAAAATGGTGACCAGAACTTGCCTCAAACCATAACGTTAAATGCTCTGTGATAGTGTGGTAGACTGACAAGTGTGTGCTGCTGAGATGAGTTAAACTTGGACTTCATCTGGCTCTATCACGAAGGCTCTGTACTCACTGATCCCGTACTGAACACGGCTTGGCTTCTTGGGAAAATCCTCATGTTAATGTTTATTACATTGAGCGATTGTGAGGATAAAAAAGAAAATGCCAGCCGAGCGGGTAGGGACCAACCATACTTAGGAATAATCATGTTGCAAAAAATATTAATTTCATTGTTCTTTCTCCACATATCTACAGCCTAGTATTTTAAAAGTATGTGTGCTTAGCAAGACCCAGCAAGCACACATACACCAAGACAGCATGATCCCATCAGTAGCCCTCCTGTTTCTGCCCCTATGATTTAGAGATTCGTAGTAGAATCTTGAGAGAGAGTTGGTATAGGTGGCTTTTGCTTGTTTGATTTTTAGATAGCTCCAATTTTCCTAATCATAACGTAAATAGATGCATAATAAGCACATTAAGTATTAAACAAATCGGAAATAAAAGAAGCAGAAATCGAGCCATATCTTCCCATGTAAGAAAGTCACTCTTTTAAAATTCCCTTTTCTTAGAAGTTTTAGGTTCACAAGGAAAAAATGTAGAAATTACAAACAAACCAAAGTAAAGCTGTCCTCAAGCTGATTCTAATTCACAGAGACCTCGTGTCTGTCGAAGCAGAGCTGCGTTCCATGGTTGTCCATGGCGGCTCCCTCTCGGTAAGTAGATTTCCACGTCCGTCTTCTTCAGGACAGCTGGGTGTGAGCTGCCAGTCCCTTGCTTAGTAGCCAACCACGCACTGTTTGCACCCCTTCTGAAGAAAAGATGTTCCCATAACATTCTCTTGCCACCCCACCAACACTTCCCGCTTCTCTTATTCTTAATATCTTGTATTTGGGGATATATTTGTTAAAACTGATGAGCCAATATTTTAACAGTTTTGTTAACATAGAATTCATATAGCAAACAAGCCAAAAGCTTAAAACTATGTAAAGGAATTTTGAAATCAACACCACAATAAATTTTAGAACATGTCTTCATTATTAGCTCCCTGTTCCCCCACACACACCCCTTGCCATAACCTTAAGGAACTATTTTTATCTGGTTACTGGGGGGACCAGTAGTGACACATCGTTATTAACTGAAGCCACAATTCACTTTGGGGTCCATACTTCATGTTGTATAACCCTTTGGAGTTTGACAAACACATCCTGTCACGCAGTCACGATGGCAGCATCAGACAGAGTAGCTTCACTGCCCTGAAAATGCCCTGTGCTTCACCTATTAACCCTTCCCTCATTTCTTGAATCCTTAACCCTCAGGGATCTTGTGGCTCTTTCTGCTTCGCCTTATCTAGAATATCATGTAGTTGCAGTCAGATAGTAGGCAGCTCTTCAGACTGGCTTCTTTTGCTTCGTGAGATGCATGGAAAGTTCTTCCTTCCCTTTCCTAGCATGGGAGCTTATTTTATTTTATTTTTCATTCAACATCCTCTTTTATATGGAGATATCACAGGTTTTTAAAATCCATTCAGCACTTGAAGGTCATCTTGGTTGCTTCCAATTTCGAGCAATTAGAAATAAATGTTCTATAAACATTTGTGTGCAAGTTTTTGTATGGACATAGATTTTCAATTCTTTTTTTTACTTTATTGATTTATTTTTTAATCATTTTATTAGGGGCTCATACAATTCTTATCGCAATCCATACATACATCAATTGTGTAGAGCGCATGTGTACATTCATTGCCCTCATCATTCTCAAAACATTTGCTGTCCACTTAAGCCCCTGGCATCAGGTCCTCTTTTTTCCCCTCCCTCCCCGCTCCCCCCTCCCTCATGAGCCCTTGAATGCAACTCCTGAAGTCCATGGTTCGCCTTTGCTTAGCCCTGTAAACACTCGCCAGACACTCCTCCAACGTGGCTGATCATTTTGCATTCCCACCAACACTGTTCTCTTGTTTCACATTGGGGCCAGCATTCGGTGTTTCAGTGTTTGGAATTTTAGCCAGAAAGTCACGTTATGAAAACTTTTCCTTTTGAAGCAATTGTAGATTCACAGAAAGTTGCAAAGGCAGTCTTTTATCCTTGTTTTCCAAATAATCGTGCCTCTTGCGGTAACGTTGATCTAACTCCTAACAACCCTGCCGGACAGAGTGGAAGCGCCCCGTGGGATCTCTGAGGCTGTCATCTCCATCAATACTAGAAAACTAACACTGGTACAGTGTGTGTAGACAATCTTATGTCATTTTATCACACATGTAATTCATGTAACCACCACCCAATCAAGCACAAAACTACTCCATCACCACAGACCAGGACTTCTGCATGATGCTTCTTTATAATCACACCCCCTACCACGAATCTGCTCCCCTGCCACAATGTTGTTATTTGAGCGTTGCATGAATGGAATCATGCAATAGTGATCTTTTGAGATTGGCCTTTTGTCCCTCGGTAAAATGCCACTGTGGTCTACGTTTCTGTGTGTATCTATACTTCGTTCTTTTCTAGTTGCTCAGCAGTCTTCTGTGAGATGACGGGAAGCTTTGTTACCTATTTATCTACTACAGAACCCCCATGGCATTGCTGGGTCGGCATTGGATGGGTAACCCCAAGGTGGAAGATTCAAACCCATGCTCCTTGGGGAAAAGATGAGACTGTACTCCCATAAAGATTTACAAGGCCTTGGAAATATAGGGTCACTGTGAGTCCAAATTGGTTCAATGACAATTGAATTGGTTCAATGACCATGGTTTGGTTGGGCTTTATTTACCTACTGATGGGCATGTTCGTTATTCTCCTCAACTCAACTCCCTGCCATCAGTCAATTCCTGCTCACAGCGACACGGTGCTCCACCTCGCCTGAGACTGTTCGTGTTGTGAGGTCAACTTCAAGGTCAGCAGTTGGAAACTACTAGCAGCTCCGAGGGAGAAAGACTAGGCTTCCTACTCCTGTGAAGAAAGAGAGCCTGTTATGACAAAGGAAAGTGCTGTGAACCTTCATGCAGGTTTTGTGTGGATATTAGCTTCCATTTCTCTAGGAAAAAATGCCCAGGAATGTGATTGCTGGATTGTGTGGTATGGGTCATGAACCCTAGTAGCACAGTGACTGAAGTGTTCACCTACTACTGAAGGGTAGATGATTTAAAGACGCTTTGCTCCAAGAGATAGGGCAAGAGATAGGGCAGTCTACTTCCTTAAAGATTTATAACACTGGAAACCTTACAGGGAAGTTCTACGTTTTTCCTATAAGAGTAGTCGGAATCAGAGTCATCTCCATGGCAGTGGGTTGATTTTGCATTGGGGCTTAGTTTCTAAGCATACTTTTAGCTTTTGAAGAAACTATTTTCCAGAGGAATTTTTAAAAAATAATTTTATTGAGGGCTCATACAACTCTTATAATCCATACATACATCCATCTGTCAAGCACATTTGTATATGTGTTGCCCTCATCATTCTCAAAACATTTTCTTTCTACTTGAGCCCTTAGAATCAGCTCCTCATTTTTCCTTTCCCTCCCCTCCCCTCCCTCCCTCATGAACCCCTGATAAATTTTTTTCATGTCTTACACTGTCCAATGTCTCCCTTCACCCACTTTTTTGTTGTCCATCTCCCAGGGAGGGGGTCATATGTAGATCATTGTGATCCGTGGCCCCTTTCTCCCCCACTTTCCCCTTCCCCTCCTGGTATCACTGCTCTCAGTATTGGTCCTGAGGGGTATCTGTTCTGGATTCCCTGTGTTTCCAGCTCTTATCTGCACTCGTGTACATGCTCTGGTCTAGCCGGATTTGTGAGGTAGAATTGGAATCATGATAGTGGGGGGAGGGAGAGAAGAGGAAGCATTAAAGAATTAGAGGATAATTGTATGTCTCATCGGTGCTATATTGCACCCTGACTGGCTCATCTCTTTCTTGTGACCCTTCTGTAAGGGGATTTCCAGTTGCCTACAGATGGGCTTTGGGTCTCCAATCCTCACTCCTCCTCATTCACAATGACATGAAAGTTTGTTCTTTGACTCCTGATACCTGATCCTATCGACACCTCGTGATGACACAGGCTGTTGTGCTTCTTCCATGTGAGCTTTGTTGCTTCTCAACTAGATGGCTGCTTGTTTACCTTCAAGCCTTTAAGACCCGAGTTGCTATATATTTTGATAACTGGGCACCATCAGCTTTCTTCACATTTGCTTATGCACCTACTTTGTCTTCGGCGATTGTGCCGGGAAGGTGAGCATCATGGAATGCCAGTTTAATAGAACAAAGTGTTCTTGCATT